ATTACGTGCTTTAAGTGTCTGTCGCTCAATGGCTAAAGTTGTTGAATAGAATGCACTTTATGGAAGTCACATTGCATCGGCGGTCTAATGGTTAGGATGTTGGACTTGCAACCGAAAGGTAGATTTGAACCTCGATAGGGGGACGACTTTGAATTCTTGGGAAAGACACTTTACATGAATTTTCCACGCTTCACTTAGATAGGGATGGGTACCCGGCTATAGACGGGGAGCAATCTGAAAGATCTTGTCAGTTTGTTAGTGTTTTAGCGCTCGATCGGCAGTTTGCACAGTATGCTTCCCGGAAAGCGGAGAGTGACAGTTTCTATGCCGTCTAGGGTCTCCTGGGGGTAGATCTAGTAATTATAAGCCTATAGATAGTAAAGCGCATAGAGCTTGCTGTTAAGCTAGGATACGTGCTACATAGTGCTACTTATTATCGTTATTATACCCATACAGGCCAGGCAACAGGCTCAGCCTTATGCTCAGTGCACAGTACCCATTTAATCGATTCGATTTTTTCGATACAGTAGGCGCTGATCAAGAATTTTCTTTGATCTATATCTAGGGACTAAATCTACACTTTTGGCTCATTTTTGATATAAATCCTCCCAAATCAAGCTTGATAGTTTTTGCAAGCCACGGATCTGAGGCAGATGCTGCAGGCGTTACCCTTCATTATAATCGTTTGGCTTAGATTGCGTCAAACGGTGCTCTCCATAGTGAACCGGAAATACGTCAGAGTGTGCAATCTAGGATATATTATAACACAAATATATGGCTCTGGTAGATAGGGGGTTATAGAATAAATAGAGTGCATATAATGTGGTATTTAGGTACAAAGAACGAAATTTTGAAATGCACAGTTAATTTTCGGGTTTCCCTTCTCACCCTGAACAATTTATGTTGTTTTTGTTCAACAGGAAAAGAAATTCAACATGTTGACCTGACCCCCACAACCGGATGCACATGCCCGAATTTTGGCGGGAAGAACTGGGATGAGCTTTACGTCACCACCACGAAACTGTTCGCGTCACCGGAGCAGCTCAAGTGTCAGCCTCACGCCGGCTCTGTCTACAAGGTCACAGAGCTCGGAGTCAAAGGAAAACGACCTTTTACTTTTGCTGGATAGGCTAGATTTGTTAGGTTATTGAACTAAAGAAAACGACCTTTTACTTTTGCTGGATAGACTAGATGTGTTAGGTTATCGAAAAAAAAGGGAATCGACCTTTTACTTTTGCTGGATAGACTAGATGTGTTACGCTATTGAACAAAGGAAAACGGACTTTAGATTTGGTGAATAGCCCTACATACGTAGGATACTACAATTAAACAAAGGGAAACGACCTTTTACTTTTGATGGATAGGCTTGGTGTGTTAGGTTATCGGACAAAGGGAAACGGCCTTTTACTTTTGATGGATAGGCTAGGTGTGTTAGGTTATCGGACAAAGGGAAACGGCCTTTTACTTTTGCTGGATCGATATGTTGGATTACTAAACTGAGGAAAACGACTTTTCTTCGATTTGGTGGATAGATATTTAGGATATGCAAAGGGAAAAGGTATTTTAGATTTGCTGAATACATGCATTATGTAGTCGAAACCTGCCAAGACGGCCACCTGTTTAATACGGCCACCTGTACAAACAGCCACTTTCTATCCTCCCTCCCTCCCCTGCATTTTTTAACAATATAATTTCACTGTGAAAAATAGCCACCTTTTCAACGCGGCCGCAGCTACCCTATTTTATCTAGATCTATAAGAAGAAAAAAACTGCTTAAGAACGGCCCCACAAAACTCTCATCGCCCGACGCTTTGTCATCATTATTATATTAGTGTTATTATCATTAGTATTATCAGAAATATTATCATATTATTATTAATATTATTATTATTATACAGTATTATCATTAGTATGATCATAGTATTATCATTATAATTATTATTGTGTATGCAAAGGCAGTCCGCTGAGTCTGAAATGAACCACTCAGCTCTCTGCTCAATGACACAGCTTTTTCTATCGCGTCCGAAAATGATGCAAAAATCCACCCATCTCCACTGGGCTAGATCTAGCATAATAACAATGTCTTTGAATTAACTATTGTAATTGTATTTCCTCCAGTTGTTTGTACATTTTAGCCTAGGCCACCTCACAAAACTTTAGAATAAAGACGTGTTTTGGGGCTGGATTTAGCGAGGCGTGTACTCAAAACCAAAATGACGGAATTGTGATGAAGGAAGGCAAAAGGAGACTGAGCATTACGATAACTTGACAATCAAATTGTTCTTATTACTCGTCTTTCGTTTACTTAATTAATAAATATTTCCAGTATATCACGCTTGCCTGTTTGTTCCTTTTTATTTTGGTTATTTAGTTTGATTGTTTGTTTGTCTGTTTGTTTGTTTGTTTGTTTGTTTGTTTGTTTGTTTGTTTGTTTGTTTGTTTGTTTGTTTGGTCGTTCGTTCTTTTGTTTGATTGACTTTCGTTGTCTGTTTGTGTGTTTGTTTGCTTGTTTGTTTGTTGAAGAGTTAGAGAAGCTTATTGAATCAAAGACATTCCTGCCCGTCTGTCCTTCCATCAGTCGATTTGTCCCAATGTGATGCGTAAAATGCAGGACGATGGTCTCTAATGGTCTGAGAGCCCTTACACTGGACTCAAACATTTGTTTCTTATTATTACATATAAGTTTATTGCCAACCTTCCCCACACCTCTGTCACCTCAGCGAGATAGCTTCGTCGCACAGCCCACGTATTATGTACCAAGCCTGGCCTCAGTGTCTGTGACTCTGTGACTCTGTGACTTGTGTCTGTGAAGCTGTGACGCTGTGACTCTGGGACTCTGTGTCTGTGACTCTGTGACAGCCCACATGTACCAAGCCTGGCCTCAGTGTCTGTGACTCTGTGACGCTGGGACTTTGTGACTCTGTGACTCTGTGTCTGTGACGCTGGGACTCTGTGACTCTGTGACAGCCCACATATATCAAGCCTGGCCTCAGTGTCTGTGACTCTGTGATGCTGTGACTCTGTGACTCTGTGACTCTGTGACAGCCCACATGTATTAAGCCTGGCCTCAGTGTCTGTGACAGCTCACTCGTCCCCAGCTGAGTTGTAGTTTTAGTTAGAGTTTTACAGCATTTGCAACACAATAAAGTCATATAAGTTCCGAAGATTAGAGGTGTTACAAGAGAGTAACAAACAAAAAAAGAAAAAAAAAGGAGGAGAGATAAGGACGATAGGTGTTTGATAGGAAAGAAGTAGCAAACCACACCAGAGCACCCGCCAACCGACAACATCCTCAGCTGAGTATAACAGCGTCTGTCGTGTAGCGGATATAAAGCGCCTCAACGTCGTAAGCAGAAATACTAGTATAAAATAATATAT